GGTAATGAAATTAATTCCACACATGAGCACATTACATAAATCCAAGTATTATAGAAATTATTATCATTTTCACAGGCCAGAATTTTACCAGCATATTAAAGCTGTAGTCATTCTCAAATTAAAAAGAAAAGATGTGGAACAGAGATGAGAAATCCAATTAATATTCTCATTTTCCTTCTCCTTTGTGCAATCAATGCTACATTTATCATGTTTTAATTTATGGGAAAGGTAATCCATATCAACGAACAGGTTCTCACATGAGATGGAGCACAGAAAAATATATACCATGCTTTATTCCTGAGTTATGCAGTAAATAAATTCTTTGTCCTTTGAGAGAAACTTACTCAAATTTGTATGCTAAAGCTCTTCCTCCAGTAATAATGCAAGACCGCTAGAGTCTTTTCCTCTTTATCGACTTGCAAGTCTACATATATAAGAAACAATGATTTGGTCTAGGATATAAATAGCTGAAATAAATTTCGTATTTTCTCATTTTTTTCTTGATGAAAAATATTTAAATGCAAGCTGCATTATAACCTTCAAATAACTTAATACCAGCACTAGAGGTGCTATTCAATATCTGAATACAAGTAAATGCTAGAGAACGCCAGCATTTTGTTTTAACTGCCGAAAGCTTTTTTATATTCAGTCCAATAATTACTGTTAACTTCTTATTCAAAAAGAATTGGAAAGAGGAAATGGAGTAGACAATTGCTTAAGAACTTTCTCTTAATCCAAAACAGGAGCTAGAGGGCATAAGAGAATTCCATGAATAATAATAATATAATGACAAGGAGCTGAAAATATTTTACAAAACTATATATTTCGCTAAGAACTCAGGGCAGCTCTATTCTTACTTTGTTATTTTTGCAGTTACAAGTGTGTTCACACAGTATCATAATTAGTTATATAAATATATTCTTTATATTTCACACAGTTAGGAACTATTACATCCATTTTTTCCTCTTAAAAGGCTAAGCCCCTATTGGATAAATAATAGATAATGCTGGTTGTTTGAGTGATTTGTTGGTTTAATGGAAACTGGGACTGGAAAAGTTAGGGACTTGCTCAAGATACAAAAGAAAGCACACAGCCCAGTCTTGAACCTGATAATGGTTTCATGTCTAAAGATTTTTCCTCCTACTTGAAAAATCTTTCTCCAATTGACTTTTTATTCCCCCATTTGTTTTGCAAATAATGCAATAGAGTCATGCCCCTAAGTCACTGATGATGATCACAGTCATAGCCTCTACTTTTTCCTACTTCCAACAAAGCTTAGAGGGATGGCATGCCTTAGAAAGCCAAAATGGGATGTCAAGGAAATACAGTTCAAACACTGCTTTCAAAGAACAATAAAAAATGTGAAAGGGCAGCACTCAACCAGCAGGGATCTCACAGACCACCAAGGCTTGTACCAAAGGTTTTTGTTGGTGAGGGATGCTGCAGAGCAGCACCGAGGAGGAGAGAAAAGAGAAGGGAGAAGAGGAGAGAGAGAAGGAGAGAGAGAAGAGGAGAGAGAAAAAAGCAGGAAGAGAAGAGGAGAAGGGACTAAGAGAAAAACACCCCCTTATATAGGTTCAGTTAGGGAAAGTCTCAGAATGGTGATGGGATGGTAGAATAGCCAATAAGGAGTCACTGCTCTGGCGGGAAGAGCCCTTAGGTGCAGGCCATAAGTTTGAAATTTTCAGTGGGTCATTGGGACAGGGAGATGAGGCAAGTTTTACTATTGGGAGATAAGATGTTTAGCGGGCAACTCCTGCTGAAAGGAGCTGTAACTTTAAGAGTGAGACAACTATGAAACTAGTTTATACAGTTTATACCTTTCATATGAAAGCTATAACCTAATTATAGCTTAAGAATATGAGGAGGAGGAGGGGAGGGGAGAGGGTGGATGGGTAGAGGAAAGGTGATTGGAGGGGTCATCTCTATGGTTTATCTTAAAAGGGTACAAGTGAATCTTTCTAACAGTAGAATATAAATGTCTTAACACAATAACTAAGAAAATGACATGAAGGTTATGTTAATCAGTTTGATGAAGATATTTCAAATTGTATATGAAAATACCACACTGTACTCCATGATTGCATTAATGTACACAGCTATGATTTAATAAAAAAAAAAAAAGAGTGAGACAACTAGTCTTGGTCTATTTGAAAGCAGGAAGAGGCTTTCTGGGAAAGGTGCCTTTCTGGGGCAATTATCTAACAAAATGCTACACATTTGTACATCTACGTAATGTTTGTATATTTGCTTTTTTATCTTTATAAGGTATTATATATCATTTGATCAGCTCTGAGGATTAGTAAAAAGAAATGAAAACATTTAAGTGCTTAAGGTACAATCAACTTATTCAAGTGTAAGTTTCTCAAACAGCCCTTTTCTTATTACTCAATTCTTCTCTACCTCTTACCATTCTGAGCTTTTTCATTTGTTCTAAGTTCCAAGAAGCAGAAATTTAGCCTTATTCACTGCTATATTCCCAGCACACAGAACACTACTTGGTATACGCTAGCATACTGAGTGCTGAAAATAATGTATTTAATATAACTTAATAGGTTTTTTGTTTAGCTTGGCAATTCCTTCTCTCTCTTTCTCTCCTTAAATATTAACATAGAAATAGGTTATAAACCAACAAAAATGACATTTATTTATGTTCTGAAAACAGAAATATTTAAAATCTTCTTCTAAAATCCAAGTGACACCAATTTACAAAATCCTAGGCTACTAATTGATAAGAAACATGCTAACAAATCTTAATGCTGAGCTATCAAGTTATAAAGTCAATATTCAGTTTTCTCAATGTTCTGAATTAGAATTGTAGAACATATCAGGTTTTTCAAATTTGTGGGGAATGGGCACAGAGGGCAGCAGGTTAGTTACCGCTCTCTGGAATTTTATTTAAACATATACAGTGTATGGTCTAATAAGAATCCCAGAAATAAAAGATCTTCACAGAGGTAAGTAATCTAGAAAAGATTTTAATTTCACTTAAAATAGACAAGTACCATATTTGTTTTGTGGTTTCTTCCATTTTACATCCCCTAAGTAACTTAGGATTATATATAAGTGTGTTACATATGAAAACATTATATTTGTTAAGTTAATTAATATAAATATTTAAACATCCCTAAGGATGGAACTTACAGAATTTAACTCCAAATTGTCCTGAAGATTCATTACAATTGCCTCTAAGAAAAAATATTTTTATCTACACTTTTATTCATGAAAAACGAGAATATCTACTTAGATTTTTTTCTCTAAATATACCTTTCAATATTTGTAGATTGATACTAAGGCCAAACACAGCATTAAACTGTGGAGAATTTTCTGAATTCTGTAAAAATAATCTAAAGGGATACTGTAGTAAAATATGTTAGGCACAGGTATTTGCATAAATTTGCTTTTGGGGCAGTTCACATGTTTTCTGTGTATCAATTCAAGTTTTCCACTGAAATAAGTTATGCTTTTTAAAATAACTAATTATTTGCAAATTCCATTTTTTACATCCTTATATAATTTCATTTATCTCAGACATCACTGGGGATGGCTCAAAGTCTATATACCTTATTTTAGATATAACTGTCCAAACACAGTCCTGTACCTGATTAATAACAAAACCACCAAATATTGTTATAGATAACATGAGTATTTAAAATGTATTAGTACATCTTTTAGATGTCAGTTTGATATGTGATTCACAGTTAAGTTCTTCAGCATTAGTTGTTCCTAGGCAGTCACATAACAGAGTCAAAAAGTAATTTAGGAAGACTCAGACCCAAAGAAACAAACAAAAAAGGAATATAGGTATTAACTATTTTTATGGTAGAATAAGAGAGCATTTACTTTCTCAAAGCTAAGTGTACGGAACTTTCTATCTGGCAAGAAAATATAGTTGTGTGACACATTTCAGCATTTTGGTGAACGAGGGACTGCATATACAAAGCGCTCCCAGAAAATAATAATAAATCTAAAAATTCCTGTTTCCTAGGAATCTTGATGTCAGATTCTTATCCTGCATAGGTTTAGGCTAATGTGTATGTCTTCATGTCTTAGTTCTTACCAAAGTAAGTTTAAAAAGTAAAACGGAAGTCAAAAACTTGGCATAAGTTTATAGAATAAAGATATAAAGTAAGAAAATGTTTTTGTGTAGCTATACAATATTCCTAAGATATAAGCTAAGGGTTAATACAAAAGGGTTCAAAAGCTAAAAAATTGAGCTTATAAAGTAAAAAAGTTGCCATGAGCTATACATTTATTATTGAAGTAAGAAAAATGTATTTTAGAAATTTGGTGTGGCCTAAGTGTATAGATTTTACAAATCTACTGTGGTGTACAGTAATGTCCTAGGCTTTCACCTTTACTCCACACTGGCCGACTGATTGACCAGAGAAACTTTGAGCCTTATAAGTTGTGTTCCTGGTAAATGCCCTATACAATATATTATTTTTTAATCTGTTATACCATGTTTTGACTGTACCTTCGCATGTTTAGATATGTTTAGGTACACAAATGCTCACTATAGTGTTAACATTGTCTAGCCATTCAGTATAGTAACACACGGTACAGCTGTATCACCGAGGTGTGATAAGCTGTCCCTGGGTGTGTAGTAGGCTGTATATAGTAAGGGGGTCTGTGTAAGTACCCCAGCGATGACAGAATCACCTAAAGACATTTTTCAATATTTTAGAACATATCCCCATTGTTAAGTGACGCATAACTAAAATCTATTAAAAAAGAATGTTTGTTCTATATTTGGCAAGGTAAAGCAAAGAAAGACCAACAAAACAACGCCTGAACAAAAACCCACTGGGCCTGGGTGTTCTGCAGGGCCTCTGCCATAAATGAAAATAATTTGTATTGCTCCACATACGCATCCATACTAAATTCCTTCAATATCACAGGTACTCACAACTATGCAGTTTTAGAATCAATATAAACTGAGATGAAATCTGAAATATGGGGATTACCAATAGGCCGGATTATATAACACGTGAACTTACCCTTCCAACCTTACGTCCGGCAGGCTTCTGTTAAGGGCAATCAAATCACTGGCCATAAGGTTAAATTGATTGATTTTAAACAGCTCTTTCATTTTCTCCTGGTCATCTTTAGGAATCAACACAGCCTTTCCCATTTCTCCCGGCCCTTCTTGGTTTCTTGAAATAACAGCTGTAAGACATACACAGATACGCACATACACAAACAAACAAATAATGAACTCAGTAAATAAAATTATGCATTAGGTGACATTCTAAAATGTATTATTTACATCCTAGGTTTAGCGAAATAATCATCAAGACTTTAATGCTTACAAACCACACACCATTTTGATTCATTAGCTCAATTCTGCATCGTGTCCTTCTAGTATAGTCACATTATATGATCTGACTGGTCATTGACTTAATAATTAAATAATATAAAACTTCAAATCTTAAACCTTCTTAATCATATTTTCATATTCTTATTAGAGAGAGTTGAAGTCGATCACTAGGGAGACCAAATTTTGCAAAACAAAAAGGAACTTTAGAAAATACAGCAAGAGTCATTTATTTTCCTATCTAATTGTTTCAGTATTTCACATATGTATGGTCATTTCATCTTCACACACGCAGGCAAGGCTGATAATCCTTTCTCCTCATAGCAATTCAATTCCTTTGTTAAGACACTTTGAACTGTGTCAAAACAAGTTTCATAGTGGTGATGTATAATTTCAAATGTTAAACTGCACTTGGATACATATGCTTCATAAAAAGACCTTCACAACAATGTTCGGGGCTTGGCTGTTCAGTAAGAGAATGCGGGATTCAATATACAGGCTAATGTATATGTCCACTTCTCTCAAGTTATCACCACACTAAACTCCTTTCTATCTCGAAAGTACATTTCTTTTGTTTTGTTTTGTTTTTATTTTTTTCTTTATTAAATCATAACTGTGTACATTAATGTATTCATGGGGGACAATGTGCTGATTTGATATACAAAGTGGAATGCTTACATCAAACTGATTAACATAACCATCACCTCCCTTATTTGTTGTGATAAAACATTTATACTGTACTCTTAATAGTTTTCAAATGTACCATTGCATTGTGCACATTAGGTGATGTTACGTAATGTGTGTGAGTGTAATTGTGTGTCCACACACACACATATCTGTATGCATGTTAACATGTAATAATAAACTAAGGTTCTAGTTGACCTTGAAGCACCTTTAACTTATTCTTCACAATGATATTAAATTAGGTTAACGTGAAAGGACTGTGTTTCTGTTCCTGACTCTGTCAATGTTTTGCTATATTATATTAATATTTCTTAACACATTAATCTTACTGAATTTAATTGGCACATAAATTAAAGTTCAAACATTTGAGAAGTAGCTTCATGAAGTAGCAATGAAAATAATTTTATGGTTGGGGGTCACCACAACAGCTATAACTTTTCCTAAGTATACAAATTCCAAAATAATATTAAAATATGGTAAAAACTATATTATACAGCACACAGAGCAAACTTTCCTCTGACTTGGCCTCCACAGTTATAAAACATCAGAACTGGTATCATTAGCACCAATATCCAATTGATCATCCAGGTCTCTGTGAAAGGTTATCCTTACTTTGGCATGACATGAATCAAAGCATAAAAGAGCATATCTAAGGATTTTAGCTATGGATGTCTGGAAAGTCATTTAGCCTTAAAATCCTCTTGTACATATAAAAATAGTAAACAGCTGGAAAATTTCATATGGAAGAGACATACGTATTGAACTTCAAACTATTTAAAAGTTGCCATCTAAAGAAAGTTTATGAAAATTATCATTCACTTTAAGGGACAAAAATAGAAATGATGGAAGATAGTTTATGAGAAATCACATTTTGCTCATTTTAAGAAATAAATTTCTAATAGTAATAATTTACCTTGGGGGTTCTTAAGCTTATTTTCCCTAGAAGCAAATGAAGTTGCTGGAGTCGCCTTAGGTCAATTTGTGCTCGTGGTAAGAGAATTTCATTTAAGGTAATTCCCATTTATAGTATTTTAAAACAAAGTGTTACATGAATTTCTGTGGTTCCTTCAGGAGGATTTTTGATTCTGAAGAGCATAATCAGGCTATAATAACTCCTATGTGCTATAGATATTCAATTTCAATTTTTTATTACATAGTCTATGCTGCAACTTTAATGGCATTTACAAATCAATGATTTCTTTTTTTATTATAAAATGTTTTACCTGGTTGAAACATTAAAATATGGTTAAGAAAGCAATTTCCCATTCACCCGTGTAAAAGTATGACTACCTTCACTCTCTTAAATTCTGTGGGTAGCCTGAGATTTAAAATGACATAGTGAGATTAACAGAAGAAAGGGATACAAATTTATTTTTAAGTGTACACATGAGTCTTCAGAAGGAAATTGAAGACCCAGAGAAAATATTAGGTCCCAAAGCTTATAAATTTTTTTATATGAGAATGATAAATTATGGAGATGTGATTAGACAAAAGGGCTGGGCTAGGCCGAGTAAACTGTGGCATAATGAGTGGGGAATACATAGGGAAAGGACTATGAGGTGAGGATTATTTTAGTAAGGTTGTTTTTGTCAGGTTCATTCCAACATTGACTCCCAGTTTCTGGTGATAAAAATGCTTTTTTCTTCCTGAGGAGTAAGGGCACCTTACTCATGGGAAATTTTATGACAGTCTTTAGAAAAGGGAAAGTTAGATAAAGCTTCTGCAGCTCAAAATAATCAATATGCCAATATGGCAGTATTTGGGAGTAGAATGTTCTGAACTTCTTCACCTTATATAAACTCTGACCAAAAAAAAAAAAAAAAA